AATATTCTTCACATTTTCTAATGTGGTTGAGTTATAAAAGTAATAGTTAGTTCCATTATTGGACTCAAAGGCCCAAACAAAGCCTTATGTGTGCATGAGACTATTTAACTTAAACATTTAAATTCGGAGGGGAAGGAGGGAATATCAAATGAAGTTGTTTGAGTTATAGCCTTTACCTCTAGTTGTGCATAAAGGTTTAAGACAGTAGTCAGTATGACAGAACTATCAGTTACATTTTTTACTTCTTAGTAGCTGAGCCTAGCCATGTGAAAACCATAACACCTATCTGTGCATTAAATGTTATCAAAGAATGTAAAGGCCAAAATCACAAATTGCTTTTATGTTGTCATATTTTGCTAACTTACAAGCTGTATACAAATGTAGATTGGTGTCAAAGGTAAACATCAAGCTAGTTTCTTTATACTTGTTACCAAAATTGGGCAAGTTATATTAATTGTTGTAGATGAAAGATCAACATACTCCACAGAACATTTGCGAATGTTGCATAGTATTCCTACTAGTTTTTGTAACATTCTCACCAAATTTAGGAAAGATATAGACAATAAGTTCTAATATAAATTATAACAAAGGATAAAAGTTTCCCAGAGGTTAGCTAGTGATTTGCTTTTGTATTGCACAGTGCATTCAAGTGTAATATAGGCCTAGGGTCATAGTTTTATAAATTCAAGATGAATATTACAGAAAAGACAAGATTGCTTCTTTTTTCTTATTTTCAAACTCATTTAGTAGGCAGCACTACAGACTTAATGCATGTTATTCTTGTAATTGTTTTATGTTTTTGTATATTTTAAATATCTAGCTGGTTAAGACAATGACTACCAGTATTATTGAATAGATTGCTAATTTTTCCTAATAATGTATTAATTTGAGAGTGGTTTACTTAAACTCTTAAAATACTAAGTTTGATAAATATTGTATAAATTCCACTCATTGTGGTTGTTCACTAATACAGGGTTATTTTTTAAATCTACAAAGGGAAGTGACTTTGTTACAAATAAAAGTAATGAAGTTAAAAGTCATAATAATAATAATAATAATAAAGTAATTATATTTGAAAACATTAAACAATCACATATGTTGGTACAGTTTATATTCAACATGTAACATAAGGTACCTTGAGATTTATTTGTAGCACATTGTCATTTTATATGCATCCACAAAATATTTTGTATACTAAGTGGAACAAATTTGACTGATCCACATAGACTTCATCTAAACTGCTTACAGTGTTATTCAACAAGGTTTGAAATTTTTATTCTTTAGAAGGATTTTAATTGTTGTTTATCACAATAGTTTGTTTCTAATGGTCATTAAGGAACTCAAAAATGTAAGCGGGTTTGAATCCGCATCCCACCAAACATGCTCGCCCTTTCAGCCGTGGGGGCGTTATAATGTGACAGTCAATCCCA